CTCATCCCACAAATTTAACAAATCTACAATCTCCAAAACTTGATGCCTGCCCTTATAAATGAACTTCATGCAGCAGCTAGCCTAATCCCATGAACTATACCACACACAATGATCTTTGAATGCTCCCTTAAATGGAGAAAGAATACTTTGGCATTCACGAAAATTTTGAAAATTTAATACAGGACAACATTCTGTAGAGTTAAACACCATAAAGATTTGAACAAAGGTTTCAAATTCTAAATAAACTAAAGTTGCTCCAATGCCCAGTTAAAACTTAATAAATTTTCACTTAAACTCAGAACACTAAATGCCAGGTAATACCAAAAAAGTAAAAATGTTAGCACAAAAATCTATTTAGAACAATGATAGCAGGATTAAGTAGCCAAATCAACATGACCCACATGATGCTTTAACTCCTCGAAGCAATCTAACTAAATGTGTTGGGCTAGGGGTCAGTCATAGGGTGGACGGAGCATCTAGAATGCAACTAATGCTCTTCAACTTGGCAAGCAACCCAAATCCATGGATCTCTACAAGAGGTGATACTAGAATAATCATAATAGGTAGCCAAGAACATGTGTTCTTCCATGCCCCAAATAAACAGCCTGCCTTTCACACCTTCATTTATAAAGTGAAATGACAGAAAAATGACTCAATCCACATTAATCAGACTTGAAAGACACAAATAATGACTCTAGCCTAACCTAAGAGCAAAGTTCAAGTTGCTTCAACAATGAAGCATTTAACTCATTAACTTCATATCACTAAGATCAAACTTTTCAGACCATTATTTTAATGTCCAAATGTTATCAAAGGAAACTATTGCATCAAAATCACACCTTTTGTTTTCAAATAATCATAAAATTAGTAAATTGAGGTTCAAGGTAGTAACTCTCTGCACCAAAAGAGGTATCCCATCCTTACCGATCCCCACTTGAATGCTATAATATCAATTGTCCAAGCAAACATGAGCCTCTCAATCACTTAACCTCCTGGTGTGTAGAGGCTCAACATGTTAGATCGGGAGGCACTCATAAAGTGATCGCTATTGGCTTGTCCATTTGAGAAGGGCATATGAATAATTTACGGATCATTAAAAACATTAGTATTAATATAGCCATAGTAAATGGCCAAGAACATGCAATCATTTATACCTCAATTATAGGACCTGAAACTCAAACCTTCAAATTTTGGGTCCATTGTGGGTTAAGTGAGGCCAGTTGAGTTAATTCCACATTAATCAAGCTTAAAAGTAGCATGCTAGTGATTTTATTGGTGTATATTAGAATTGCAACACTGCTCATGAGTTATGGAATCAACTAAAATATGCTTTGGAAAAACCATAATTACAAGATTACAATCCTTGACATTAAATTAAGACTTATCAAATGAATCAAATGCATTCAATATTTGAATGATCTAAGAACAATATGAATATCAAACATGATATATAATCTTAATAGTGCTGGTAATAAGTGATCTTTAAGGTTGTTAGCAGTCATCAAGTCATGCTCAACCACGATATTGAGCTTAAGCAATAGTACGTGATGATGTTGCTCCCTTATAGCTTGAGATAGAGTTACATGATGCTTCCTAATTCTTTAAATGTTGTATGCTCTCGCATAAACATCAAGTTTCGTAGCGACTTTCATTTTCATTCTATAATATTAACATTTCCAGATCGCAAACTTTCAAATCCTTCCAGATGTGTATTGAAAGTTTGTGTTATCAAGTCACAAGATGCACAAAAACTAGTTCCGGTGCAACCACTTGCATAGCTGCCACCTCCAAACCGTTCAGGAAGGAGTTTTTTTTAGTCTAGTGAAATAGTACAAGGCCATTGGAAGCATCTTCGTAAAGAAGACCATGGGAAATAAAATATTCTTGTTTAATTTATCTTTTGTTTCATGTAATAAGAACATTTTAGTCCGCCTATTGGTCATGGGCATTTTGATTGTTATATTTGATTATCTTACCTATATAAAGAGTCATACTATTGTATTAAGTGTATGTGTGAAGACTATTGACTGAAAATGGTCGCTCTATTGGATTTTATCTATTCCCATTTATTTATAAAATAATTTGCGTTTCAATTAAAAATAATGATGAAACCAAAAAAATCAAATAAGATTTCCTCTTAGGCTAAAGAAGTCGGACTCAATAGGTGGGGAGATTACTTGTTAGCAAAAGACCGATTGAGAAGAAATACACATCTTTCTTATTCTTGGTTTCTGCACATCATCTTCCCCTCATTCATACCTTTATTCTTTTTTGTGCTTATTTTTTTTTCATAGGTCAAAGGAGTGTGATTTACAATACTTTCATCTGAACTCATTACCGTGAAAGAGAGAAAAGTGTTATAGAAGTAATCATAGAAGCAATAGCAACAATGCATCCAGCACAAAGAGGGCATTCTCTGCTCCAAGGGTAGAAGCTATTATCAAGTAGTCGTGCTTATTTTCGTTCTGTAGTTATATTCTTGTTTCCTAAGATAATATGTTTTATGAAATTTTATTTTGCAATTATATCGGCTTTGTTCTAATGATGCTAACACATTTTTCTCTCCTTTACCCCTTAGGCCTGTGTATCTCTTGGACCCTCTAAGCCAATTCTCTCTCTCTCTCTCTCTCTCAATTTCTCCCATCATTTCCAAAAAAAGAGCAAAATGTGATGAAGATGCAGCAGTGAAATAAAACTTGAACTTATATCATAGTATGATAGATGACTCAAGAATATATGCCATTCCAAACCACAATAAAGGAGCTACAATTCAAACCTTCAATTGCCAAGTCCCCTACAAGTTGAAAGATGATAGATGACTCAAGTCCATGTTGGTCGGGCCTAAAAGCCACAAACATCGACTCTAACCTCGTCATCCCGAGAGCATTATCCAAGTCGCTTCAATAATAAAGCATTAAAATCCTCTAATTGCTCAAGAAGCTCCCTCAAGACATTATTAAGATCATCAATCTTCTCATGCCAGTGTTCTAACATCTCAAGTGCATGAAAGGAAACTCTCCGGTCGAAATCCCACCTTTTTTTTGCTTCATATTAAGCAATGAAAACAGTAATTTGTGGTTCAGGGTGTTGATTCTATGCAGCAAAACAAGCACCTCCTGCTTAATGAAGGAGATTCCTACTCTAGATAGTTACAGGATCAATTGTCCAAGCAAAAATGAGTCTCACGAGTAACTAACCCTTCATTTGGAGTGATAAGACTCAACATGTTGGGTTGGAAGACACTCATAGAACACACAAATCAATTTCACCACAACTATCACTACTAACTCATCAAGAAAAGCAGATGGCAATAATTAAAAGATCATCGAAATCACCAATATCAAGATAATGCGGTAAATGTACATTAACATGTCTTTAGTTATACTTCAAATAAATGACCTATCATGTAAACCTTTAATTGCTGGGTCCATTATACCGCTGACAACAAACGACTCAATTCCTTATTAACCAAGCTGAAAAGAAGTATACACAGTGATCCTTTTAGTGTATATTAGAATTGCTACACTACCCGTGAGGTATGGAATCAGCTAAAATATACTTTGAAAATACCTTAATTGCAAGCTGATGAGTCTTTAAAATTATTTTAAGACTTACCAAACAGACAAACAGATTGAAGGCATTCAATATTGGAAGACTAGGATATTATCAACCATGAAACATAATTTTAAGGTTGTTAGTAGTCATCAGGTCATTCTTGGCCATGATATTGATCGTGAGCAACATCACCAGATGATGTTATTCCCTTGCAACTTGAGATGGTGTTGCATGTTCCCTGGTTCCTTAGAACGGTATATGCTCCCTCATAAACATCAAATATGAACTTGAAAACTTTCTTCAAGAATTTCCAAAGCTAAAACTTTCAAATCCTTTCACATGTAAACTGAAAAATTGTGTTACCAAGCCATAAGATGCACTTGAACTAGTTACGCTGCCACCACTTGCATGGTCACCACCTTCAAAATCTTTGGGGAGGAGTTTTATTAGCAACAGAAGAAATGGTACAAGACCAATGCAAGGCATTTACTTATTCATGATAAGATCACACAGAACAACATAAATTATAAAATATTCTAGTTAATTTTATTTGATGTTAGTTTCATGTGATAAGAAGTCCTTCTATTGGTCATGATAATTTGATCGTTATATGTTATTATCATGCCATTATGATTATTGAATGAAAATTATAATGTTTGCCCTATCGGCTGTTATCTAGTCCTATGTATCAAACAAATAAGATGAGATCCTTAATTAACATTAATAATGAGTCAAAAAAAACAAATGAGATTTCCACTTCTTGGACAAGAAAGGTGGGAGTAAAGAGGTTGAGCTGCTTAGTTGAAGACCAATACCCATATTTCTTCATCTTGGCATCTATGGAATGTATTTTCCCCCTCATCCATATCTTATCTCTTTTGCTTATTTTTATCTTCCAATAGGTAAAAGGAATGTAATTTAACATACTTACATCTTACCCTACTATGATGAATGAGACGGAAGTGTGATAGAAGTAATCATAGAAGCAACAACAACATTGTATCTCGCACAAAGAAGATGTTCTTTGGACTAAGGGTATAGGCTACAATCACCAAGTCATGCATATTTTGTTTTCTAACTATATTCTCGTTTCACAAATGTTTTATTTTTCCAATCATATAAGTTTTGTTCTAACTATGCTTCGGGTGTGTGTGAGTTAAGAAAAAATGTTCTAATGATGCTAACATGCTTTTCTACCCTCCCCCTCTCTTCCTTTCTCCTACCTCTCGGCCTCTCTCTCTAGGCCATTTTTCCTTCCTACTCACTCTCTAACCATCTGTCCCTCCCCTATCTTCACCACATAAAAAGCAAATCAAAGAATACAAGCTCAAGTTCCATTTCGCAGTACATCTTCATTACAATTTGTTGGAAAAGAGTAAACACAAAAAGTAACACCTTTTTTGGGCTGGCAAAAAAAAAAATTGTAACTTTGGAGAGAAGTTCACCTCTTGCCTACCCTTGCTGAGGGGTTTGTCAAGTACGCTTGAGTACTGCTTGATCTTTCCGCCAACGCCGATCATAGCTTCTCCCGATAGCTCGGATCAAACAAACTGCGATCCGAAGCCAAGAGATCTGATCCGATATCAATCGGGAAAAGTAAAAAAGTTTGTGGTCACGGCACTTGATCCTTACTCCTTGCGGCTGTCAGGTTGCAAGATTTAGCTGACATTTAGCTATAATTTAACAAGATTTAGGGTTTGCTCGCTCATTCGCCGTAGGCTCTTCCTCTTGAGTTCCTCTTCTCCTTCACAATCCGATTTCTCCTCCACGCCCTCCCGCAGAGACCTCCAGCCGATCGCCACCTCCTCGCTTCTTCGCCCCAGATCTTAGCCGAAAAGAAAATTTTGCGCGACATATTTTTTGTTTGGAAGATTTGTGTGCGATATATTTTTTGTTTGGAAGATTTACACACATGCCACTCAGTGCCACTCCAATTGTATTTTGCCTTTCTTTTTTTTTTTTTTTTTGACAAAAAATTTTGAATGATATAAAAGTAATATATTGTTATGGTATGGCTCATATACCATATCGGGACAGATGTTGGATCAAAGCGAAGCGGAGCGGAGCGGAAGAATCTGTCCAAATTGGGAAGTTACGTGGGTTGGGGTGCGGGGGCAAAGCCCCGCGGTTTGGTACAGGGGTAATGTTGTAATTACATATTGTGCCTAAGGTTTACTCCTGGGGTTATAAATAGGCCTGTTAGTAACCCCAGGAGG